AAGGTCCTTCATTTCCTCTTTACTTTCAGACTTGCTCTGTTCAAGAAGTTGCTTCATTTCCTCCCTGATTTGAGATACAGCATTTCCCATTATATCTTTAATGTCTTGTGCAGACAAGCCTGGCAAGGGAGGAGAAGATGGAGGTGTAACCTTAGGTTGCAGCACTGGTGGTATAACTTTAAGTTGTTGTTGTACAGTTGCAATTGCAGGAGAGGAAACCACCTTAGAAACTATAGAAGCTGGTTGTCTCTTTGAAGCCATTTTTTTAAAAATCTTATTCTCTCTTTCTTTCTTCTTAAAAAAAAAAGAAAAATACTAAAATCCTTAAAATTAAAAAAAAAACCAGGGAGAGTGCAAAAAAAAACTTCAAAACCTCCAAAACACTTTAAAAGAGAAAAAAAACTTAAAAGAAAAAAGAACTGTGCTATCCATACGTTTCATTTAAATCCGTTCTTTCTTTCCGGAAAGGAAAAAAAAAAGCACTTTCAAAACGCCATCTTACTTTCACTCTCACTCTCCACCACAGAAAAAAACAAAAGAAAAAAGAATCAGCATAAGCTAAAAGAGAAATAAAAAGAAATAAAACTCTAACTCTAAGTAAAATCCTTTAAACAGGTCTGTCCGCTTTAAAAATCACTCACCAGGAAACTTTAAGCGCGGAGATGGTAGCGGCGTTTCACTTTGTTTCCAAAGAAACAAAGACAGCTGAGAGGCGGAGAAAGCACGAACTCCGAGGGAACACTCTTTCTACCCCCCCAAAAAAGAGATCCAGGGGGGGTTAAGAGGTTCTACCTCTATTCGTGTGGTCTCTACCCCTTCCCTTCGCCCGGGAAGGGGATTTCGAGCTGCGGGCCAGCTGATGCACGCTGTGCTCCGCAGATCTAATGCCGTCCCAGGAGGACGGCTACAAAGTAGCCGCCATCATTGTCGCTGACCACCGGAAGCTCCCTGCTGTGTGTTTACGATTGTTGTCATGTTGGAAAGTGAACCTTCGGCCCAATCTGAGGTCCTGAGTGCTGTGGAACAGGTTTTAATTGAGGATATCCCTGTATTTTACTCCATTCAGCTTTTCCTCAACCCTGACCAGTCTCCCAGTCCCTGCTGCTGAAAAACAGCCCCACAACATGATGCTGCCAACATCATGCTTCACTGTTGGGATGATTTGGGGCAGGTGATGACTGGTGCCTGGTTTCCTCCAGATATAATGTTTAGAATTGTGGCCAAACAGTTCAATCTTGGTTTCATCAGACCAGAGAATCTTGCTCCTCACAATCTGAGAGACCTTCGGGTGCTTTTTTGCAAACTCCAAACAGGTTTTCATGTGTTTTGCAAGAGAAGAGGCTTCTGTTTAGCCACTCTGCCGTAATGCCCAGATTGAGCTGCAAGTGATGGTTGTCCTTTTGGAACTCTCTCTCATCCCCATAGAGATGGGAGCTCAGTCAGAAAGACCATTGGGTTTTTCATCACTTCTCTTACTAAGGCTCTTGTCCCCCGATTGCTTAGTTTGACTGGGCAACCAGCTCTTGGAAGAGTCCTAGTTGTGCCAAACTTCTTCCATTTGAGAATTATGGAGGCCACTGTGCTCTTAGGAACCTTCAGTGCAGCAGAAATTTTATTGTAGTCTTCCACAGATCTGTGCCTTGTAATAATCTTATCTCTGAGCTCTGCAGACAGTGCCTTTGACCTCATGGCTTTTGCTCTGCTATAGTGTGCCTTGTCATCTGTGAAGCCTTCTATCGAGAGGTGTTTACCTTTTCAAATCATGTCCAATCAATTTAATTTACCACAGGTTGACTCCAATCAAGATGTAGAAACATATCAGCAACAATCAAGAGAAATGGGTGGCACATGAGTTAAATTTCAAGAGTTGTTATTTCTGGTTTTCAATTTTTGACTGATTACTTCAATTTTTTTTTCCAAATGTAATGGATCGGTCAAGGGTTATTTCAAGATATTTTGGGTGGTAGTTGTGTTTTATCCTCTCTCCACAAAAAGCTACATTTAACTCTTTGCTGTCTGATTGCTTAGATGGAAGCAGCATACTTCTGTTTTATTTGGGTTAGGGTGTAGCCTCCACTTCTCATAATATTGGCTTAGTGACCTCAGATCCTTAGTAAAAATGTATTCCTGCTTCCTCAAAATCCTTGTTTTGGATAATTATTGCCATATCATCAGCATAGTAACATTTTTCAGAGTTGATTTTTGGCAAATCACTAGTATTTCATTTAATAGAGAATATTTTATTGGCTAAATGTGATTGGACACAAGGAATTTGTCTCTGGTATCTAAGCTTTCAGTGTATATACAAACAACAAGGTAATATAATCATAAGGTATCAATAAGAGAAGATAGTACAAAAGATGAGGATAATAGTAATACAACTGTACTACATGGATAAATATCCTTAGACATAAGACTGCTGTGGGAATTAGGTGTTCAACAAACTAATGGCATGAGAGAAAAAACTATCTTTGTGTCTAGTTGTTTTGGCATGCAATGTCCTAATGTCCTGAGGGGAGGAGTTGAAACAGTTTATGTCCAGGATGTGAGGGGTCTGTAGATATTTTCTCAGCCTTCTTTCTGACCTTTGCAGTATACAGTCTGCATATAGACAGGAAGTTGAACAACTGGCCTTGTGATGGAGCCAAAACAATATGGAGCTGAATATGCTTAAAACTATAGAGATGAGAGTGGATTTTAGGAGGAGCCCTCCTATTTTATCACCTCTTACTATATTAGATCACACAGTAAGGCATTTGATAAAGTAGATCACAACCTACTACTTGATAAGATAAAAATATGTGGGTTAGACAGCATCACCACCAGATGGATTCGTAGCTGGCTGACCGGCTGTACTCAGCATGTGGTTCTCAATGGAACCACATTTACATGGAGGGAAGTGTGTAGTGGGGTGCCCCAGGGCTCTGTTCTGGGCCTAGTGCTCTTCAACATCTTCATCAACGATTTGGATGAGGGATAGATGGGGAACTCATCAAATTTGCAGACGATACCAAGCTGGCAGGAATAGCCAACACTCCAGAAGACAAGCTTAAGATACAGGAGAATCTGGACAGACTTGAACACTGGGTGCTATCTAAAAAAATGAAATTCAATGGTGAAAAAAGTAAGGTTCTACATTTAGGCAAGAAAAACCAAATATACAGATATAGTATAGGGGGTACCTTGCTCAATAGTAGTAACTGTGAGAGGGATCTCGGAGTGGACAATCATTTAAATATGAGCCAGCAGTGTGCTGCAGCTGCCAAAAAAGCCAACACAGTGCTAGGCTGCATTAACAGAGGGATAGAATCAAGATCACGTGAAGTATTAATGCCACTTTACAATGCCTTGGTAAGGCCACACTAGGAATACTTCATCCAATTTTGGTCACCACGATGTAAAAAAGATGTTGAGACTCTAGAAAGAGTACAGAGAAGAGCAACCAAGATGATTAAGGGACTGGAGGCTAAAACATATAAGGAACGGTTACTGGAATTGGGTATGTCTAGTTTAATGAAGAGAAGGACGAGGGGGGACATGATAGCAGTATTCCAATATCTCAGGGGCTGCCACAAAGAAGCACCTGAAGGCAGGACAAGAAGCAACGGATGGAAATTAATCAAGGAGAGAAGCAACCTAGAACTAAGGAGAAGCTTCCTGACAGTTAGAACAATTAACCAGTGGAACAACCTGCCTCCAGAAGTGATGAATGCTCCAACACCGGAGGTTTTTAAGAAGAGACTGGATAGCCATTTGTCTGAAATGGTATAGGATTTCTTGCCTGAGCAGAGGGTTTGATTAGATGACCTCCAAGGTCCCTTCCAACTTACTACTACTACTACTACTACTACTACTACTACTACTATTGATGTTCAGACTGGATTTGGCATTTTTGTCTTATCTATCGAGTCCTTACCAAGAACCTGGGATAGTCAGATGTGGCTGTTTGGTGGTATTACAGATATCATCGCAGGATGGAAGCAGTTCCTAGTAAAGCCGCCTTTTGCAATTGAATAATGGTGAATTTGTCAATGCCAATGGTGTTCAAGTGATGCTACAGTTGTTTTGGGATTGCATCGAAGGTGCCTGTTACCATTGGTACTACCCTTGCTTGCTTTTGCCACAGTCTTTCTATTTCTATGTAGGTCTTTGTATTTTGTTATCTTCTCCAGTTCTTTCTTGTCTATTCTGCTGTCTCCAGGCACTGCCACATCCACTATCCAGACTTTTTTGTCTTTCTTATCGACAATTGTTAAGTGTGGTGTGTTATGTTGCAGGTGCTTGTCTGTTTGAATTCTGAAGTCCCAGAGCAGTTTAATTTTATCATTTTGTATGACTTTCTCTATTTTATGATCCCACCAGTTCTTGCTTACAGGCGAATGATATTTCTTGCATATCTTCCAATGCACCATTGTTGCTACTTTGTTATGCCGTTGCTTGTAGTCAGTCTGTATGATCTTCTTGCAGCAGCTTAACAGGTAGTCCACTATTTGTTCAGCTTCTTTGCATAGGTGGCACTTACTGTCTGTTGCTGTCTTCTCAATTTTGACTTTATATGCATTCGTCCTTAAGGCTTGGTCTTGTGCAACCAGAATTAGTCCCTCGGTGTCAGAATCCAGTTATATTTCCTTTCTATCTATCTCCTCTGATCTAAAACCAATTCTCACCCTTCCCTGGATTCTGCCATACTCCCAAGGGGAGGGGGGATATGCATGCGGGTTTATTATTTTCACTTCCTCTATTCACTACAAAGTAACCTTTTGTTTATTTGCCTTCATGTCTGCTAACCTTTACAGTGTAACAAATTGCCTCCTATCTTATGCACCCCTCTGAACTTCTCTCCCTACGTGGCAGCTAGGGAAAAAAAAAAGGGGGGGGAGAGATACAAACCTCCGGGATCTGGTTTATTTCTCCATCATCAAAATAAGGTGTGAAGAGCTGTGGAATGATCATGTACAAATGGAGCCAGACTGATGTTATCTTTCCTTTCCCATCGATAGATTTAACACCTGGAGATCTGAACTGCCCAGATGAACTGTGGGATGGGGTTTGCTTAGGGACACTTTAAAATATCCATCTGTAAAGGAATCCCTCAGATCCTGTCTATTATGCCTGCTATCAACTACTCTTAATAAAAGTTCCTGTTGGAAGAAATTGTTTCCAAGAGTTCTGCTTTCTTAAGATGTGGGTTGACATGGGTCCTTAAACTCAGTCTCTTTCTTCTTCTTTTTAACAATATTTTATTGAGTTTATATACGTAAAGAAAAAATCGGAACAATACGGGTATGGTAAGGGAAGGGGATGGGGGGGAGGGAATAGGGGATTTGGGGTAAAATAAGGATAGGTACAATCACATATTTTAACAAACAAGCTACTGTCCAGATCATAATAATGAGTAAATATCATACTTAATCATTTTTAAAATAAGCTTAGCTATAGCCATATTACTAACAATTAATAAACAAATAAATTCATCTATTTAGATAAACACAAATAATAAAATCTCAAAAAATCCTGACTATCAACATTAATGGATAAAAATCACTAAATCACTAAAAATAAAAATATCATCAACCTATTAATTAAAACTTGGTTAAAAATCAATCATCCATTCTAAAATATTAGATCCTTTTCAGATTCTAACATGTCTCTAACCATTGATAAAAATTTTCCCAAGTTGTAAAATAAACTGAATCATCTTTTTCTTTCATCTCCAATGTTAATCTATCCATTTCTGCACACTCTAAGATTTTAGTAATTATAGCCTGGTCAGATGGTAGATTCTCGTTCAGGATTTTTTGCTCAAAATGACCTTGGCCTTGGCCTTGAGCTTCCGCGCAGCCTCCAACTTGGAGGACTTATGCTTCTTTCTGGTGGGAGTGTCAGGAGCACCATGTGCAGTCTGAGGCGGTGTGTTGTCTGCCATCAGAATGGAGATATCTCAGTGGAGTGCTGAGAGAGATCTCAAGGTAAGGGAGCAGAGTACTGATTGTGACTGTGTGTCACCACGCTGGAACCAGAAAGTACTCTAGGTATTGGTGGCAGCAGGACCAACTTAATGGCTACAATACCAGATAATGCGCCTCAGCACACTGGTAAGGCTTACAGTGGTGGCAAAACCAGCAGGTGGTGACAGCCAGCACACACGTACTCACTTAGTGGCGGCAAAACCAACAGGTGGTGACAGCCAGCACATGTGTGACTCACTTAGTGGTGGCAAGACCACCTCAGTGATACGGCCAGCACACTATACCTAGGTGGTAGCGGCAAAGCCAAGAGGCAAGGCCAGCACACGTTAATGTTGCGATGACTGGAAGAAACAGCTTGTTGAGGAAGCTGTGGCTGACCATCCACAGTAAAGGCCTGTCTACAGAAATTGTATATGTGGAGGCCTGATCACAGTCTGCTGAGTAATACCCAGGCTGAGGGCTGTAAACTCAGACAAAAAAAGGGAGGGGGGGCCAGGCTACAAATTACAACGTAGGGGCTGAGTTAAGTCCTGCACCGTGAGGTGCCTCCGCTGATTGCACCCCTTTTGCTGAAACTTCAGGTGAGGCAATCCCTTTAGACAAGCAGGCCTGATCCTGGCCGTTTCTCACCCAGCAGTTTGAAATCAATCCGGCGACTCCCAAAATGGCAGCTATTATACGGATCGCCTGAGGAGATTATATGTCGATCCAGAGAGCCCGGCTTGCAAAGGTTCCCTTTTGTCAATTAAGCCCTTGGCAAGGGCAGCAAATTGGTCCGCTGGGGTTTGACGAGTAAATTCGGTCCAAAAAACCAATTTTGTTTAAAGTTCTCCTCACGCGGCTTTTAAAATGGCCACTGTGGCAAGGGCGAATGGGGCAGTTGCCAAGGACTTATTTAAGCCCGCAGACCAACTGTTTGGGCTGGTAGCCCGTTTGAGCTGTGCTGATCCCAGCGCTCGAATTGCGAGAACATCCAATTTTAAAGCGAGGAAGTTCTCCAAGAGAATTTTCTCTCTCAAGGAGCCTAAGGCAAGCTGAAAGAGAGAGGGAAAGAAAAACCGCTTGGCAGTTTGTCGCAGGACTGATCCCAGCGCTGTGATGGAAAATAGAGAATCCATGAATAGCAAAGATCATACAACCTGTATAATTAGGATAAGTCTGCCAACTGGAGCCAACAATTTAGTGTCTTGCTAGGCATGAGACTAAGTCGTGACTGGGTGGTACTCTAGCCCAGAGGAGGCATGGCAAGTTTGACAGACTTAGTCTAATTGGGCAGGAAGACAGACTAAACCCATTTGTGGATTCTCCATCTTCATGCCCCTTTATGGATTACTGCCTTGTCATGGCGAAGGGGCTTGTGTAACTCAATGAAGCTATAAGCTATGCCGTGCAGGGCCACCCAAGACGGACAGGTCATAGCAGAGAGTTCTGACAAAATGTGATCTACTGGAGAAGGAAATGGCAAACCACTCCAGTATCTTTGCCATGAAAACCCCATGGACAGTACTAAAAGGCAGAAAGTGAAGAGGAACAAAAGAGCCTCTTAATGCGGGTGAAGAAGGAGAGTGCAAAAGTTGGCTTGAAACTCAACATTAAGAAAACCAAAATCATGGCATCCGGCCCTCTCAATTCCTGGCAAATAGGTGGGGAAGAAATGGAGATAGTGACAGATTTTATTTTTCTGGGCTCCAAGATCACCTCAGGTGGGGACTGCAGCCAAGAAATTAAAAGACACTTGCTCCTGGGGAGGAAAGCTATGGCAAATCTAGACAGCATACTAAAAAGCAGAGACATCACCCTGCCAACAAAAGTGCGTATAGTCCAGGCCATGGTTTTCCCAGTTGCAATGTATGGCTGTGAAAGTTGGACCATAAGAAAGGCTGAGCGCCAAAGAATTGAGGCCTTTGAACTATGGTGCTGGAGAAGACTCCTGCGAGTCCCTTGGACTGCAAGGCGTTCAAACCGGTCAGTCCTAGAAGAGATCAACCCCGACTGCTCTTTAGAAGGCCAGATCCTGAAGTTGAAACTCAAATACTTTGGCCACCTAATGAGAAGGAAGGACTCACTGGAGAAGGGCCTAATGCTGGGAAAGATTGAGGGCAGTAGAAGAAGGGGACGACAGAGAATGAGATGGCTGGATGGAGTCACTGAAGCAGTAGGTGTGAACTTAAATAGACTCCAGAAGATGGTAGAGGATAGGAAGACCTGGAGGAACATTGTCCATGGGGTCGCGATGGGTCGGACACGACTTCGCAATTAACAACAACAACAACCATCTTCATGCTGGAGAAAAGAGGAATTAGCCAAAAGAGAGAAAAAAAAACTGAAAAAAATAAAAAAAATCCAATTTATAATCCACCAGCTTCTACTCAAAAACAGGGAAGCAGGCAAAAAGGAAGAAGAAAAAATGTTCCTTGATATTCAATTCTTCTTGGCAGGATGTTTATAATCCAAGATAAAGGTAACTCAAAATATCATATATCTGGCATAAATAGTCTGTGCTATACAGCCAAGCCAAAGCAAAAAAAAGAAAAGAAAAAGTCTCTCTCAAACAGCTTCAAGGTCAGATGTCTGGGCATACAGCCAAGTGTCTGGGCGTGGAGCCAAGTTTCTAGTCTGAATACACATCAGACGAAGGAGGGAAGAAAAAAAAACCCTTTTCAATATAGTCACTGGGGATATAGATAGAAAGAAAAAAAAGTGTTCAGAGTGGAGGGGGAAAATGTGGAGTTTTAAAAGTAAGGAGTATAGGTAAACTGGCTTTTCCAAATTAAAAAAAGTGTTTTTAAAGAAACAAGCTTTCCAACTTTCTGTTAAGACTTGAACAGCTTTACTGTATTGAAAGTTTATTTTTTGAAGTGGAAAATAGCTTAAACTGCCACTTGTATACAGGAGGGAAGAGAAGGAAACTCCACCCCTCCCTTAGGGTTTCACACTCGAGCTAAAAACAGGCTATTTAAAGAAAAATCCACCTTCACCAGGAAAGAAGAGCATATTCTCACCCAGCTCAGCTGCTTGCTATCAAACTAGGCTGCTTCTTTGTCTCCGACGATCAGCGGATCGCAAGAATGTGGTCCGCCTTTCTTCCGCTGATTCCAGGGGCTGCTTTCGCGTTCCTTAAAAGTTTGCCCTTCAGTGGCCACCTCTCCGGAGCAGCATTTGGCCCAAACGGGCCCATCAGCAGAAGAATATTGGACCTGGGGGACGCAGAGTCTTTTCCCCAGGTCTACGTTCAGTGATGTCTCCAGAAATCTCCCCAAAAATTGGTTTTTAATAGTCTTTTATAGAATCTTATCTATAGAGGCAGAGTTTGTTAATTGTCTATTGTTCAAAAATATTCTTCAGAATCTCCAACGTTGATATACTGTATATTTTGCTTCGTTCTATGAATCAAATTTAAGTGCTCTTCTCCTTTAATTGTAATTTTTAATTCTTTTTAAAATTCTAATGCTGAATTTGAATTTTTTTAAGAAGAATTCAAAGCTAAAGAATTTTTCCATAGGAAGGGTTCTTATAATTAATTCCAAAATTACAAATTCCATTTGTAATTTACTAAAATCATAAGTTTTAATTACTCCTTTGCTGTTTATTCAAAACAAAAATTAAATCCTTTTGTATTTAAAACCACGTTTACTAAAGATTGAAGATTGATGCTGTACAAACACATTGATCTAAAGGCTCCTGCACAAGAATTTAACATATATTTTTCTATATTTATCATTATAGTTTTAATAAAGTGAGCTCTGTTTGGTGCATATATTATAAGTTTATCAATAGTCAAAAAATCTGTTTATTTAATTAGACATGATGTCAGAATCCAATTATATTTCATCTTTAATTATCAAACATAGAAACTCCCAATTCTGCCTTCTCTGGATTCTGCCATAAGAGGGAGAAAAGGGGGAGAGCAAAGGGGCTTTATGGCCCTCACTTCCTTCAGCACACTTCAAAGGACTGAATGTGTGTTTATTGTGGCCTCTAAGCGTTAACATATCAAAGAAGAGTAATTGCCTTTCATGTAGTTATCTGAAGTCTCCATCCAGACGGAAGAAGAAAGGGGATGGAATTGTGATACTTGAAACTATCACTGGAAGGGGGGTTGATTGGGTGGGACTACTGGGGAACCCCTTAAAACCTTGAATGGGAGAGCTTGAACCCCAAGTCCTGTCTAGCATGCCTGCAACCATTTTCTCTTAATAAAGGATTCCTGTTGGAAGAGCTATTCCAAGAGTTCTGTCTTCTTAAGATGCAAAGTGGGGTGGGTCCTTACATTAGACAGGACTTGCAAAATTAATCCACCTGGAAGGTA